ATGAGGTCTGTGTTACAAGGGACATAATCACAAATAAAGTCCAGCGAGAAAGAAAAACACACAAAAAAAGATGTATCTTTTCCTATTTGATATCTGGCGCGGGGAGAGGGGAGGGGTGACATTTCTAAAAATAACTCTGAAGCTCCATATGGTCCTCGACCCAGGTCTACAGCTGCTCCGTCTAATCTGGGATGACCACAGCATTCTTAGACTTGAGGGGGGTGTTGTGGTCGTGTAGCCTTCTTGACGCCTTCGTCCATCACCACTACATGTTGAATTTGTACAGAGGATCGGGTACTTTATTTAAGTCAGTGTTTTAATAGATGTTCGTCTGTGTCAGGGGTGGGCTTTCTTTTGGGGCTGTGAAACAACCCCATATAGTAGTGAAACTAGCCCATATCTTAGTGAAACCACCCCAGCTGTAGTGAAACAACCCTAGCTAGTAGTGAAACAACTCATATAGTAGTGAAACAACTCCAGAGAGTAGTGAATTAACCCCATATAGTAGTGAAAAAACTCCAGATAGTAGTGAAACAACCCCAGATAGTAGTGAAACAACTCCATATAGTAGTGAAACAACTCCAGATAGTAGTTAAACAACCCCATATAGAAGTTAAACAACCCCAGCTGGTAGTGAAACAACCCCATTTAATAATAATAATAATAATAAAGTTCATTTCAAAAACACGCTTCATCCCCAAAGGCTCGAAGCGCGGTACAAAGTCAACAAAAAACAAATCTATAATTTACCACATTTAAAACAAACGGAACACTACAAAAACTAATTACAAGCATACAATGCCAAAGTCTTTCTAGCCATTTCAACCATAAGCAACAAAGCCATTATGCATTAATTGGAAAATAAGGTTGACAATCATCCCAGAAGGTGTTTGCGAAATAGATGTTTCTTTAAATCGGTTTTAAAATATAGCAGTGAAACAACCCCAGATCGTAGTGAAACAACCCCCGATAGTAGTGAAACAAAGAACCTTTAGAGACCACCGGGGGCTCTTTTGGTCAGACGAGGTTATATTTACGCCCCTTTGTTGTAAACAAAAGGTTGTTGTTTTTTTAAGTTTTATATATATATATATATATATATATATATATATATATATATATATATATATAT